GATTGTACTATTTTTGCATTCAAATGCAAATGTTTATTTTAAATTCGACTAATATTCATTTTTTTATTCACAATCTCCTCATCACAGGCAGGCACAGCACTCATTTCAGCATGTGTTTGTGTGAGCTGTCTGCGTCACTCATAGTACATGCCTATATCGTGCGCTATATCGAACATTTTTTATATCGTTATCGATGAAGGTGTACCGTCGATAAATATTGATACCGTTTTATCGCCCAGGCCTACGGCTAAATTCTAAAAATGCGCATAAAAAAGCTTATGCGCACAACTGAGTAGGATAAACTGTTTATCCGATAAGAAAAAATGTGCATAAACTAATTTATTACATATGAAAACTATTATATTCAGTGGCTTCTCCTAGTTTTCTTGGAGATATTTAGTGCCAGTTTATCAGGAAGTGACGATTTTGTTCTTTGACTCGTTGGATGGAAACTTGGATGCTTTATTCGCAAATGTTTTATGCGATATTCCAGTTTTGCACATAAGTTAAATTCGCATCTTTGGATGGAAACATAGCTAGTGTCAAAGTCTACAGTCAAGAGAAGACTTCATGAGAGCAAATACAGAGGGTTCACCACAAGGTCCAAAACATTCATAAGCCTCAAGAATAGTAAGACCAGATTAGACTTGGGCAAAAAAACGTGTAAAAAACCAGACCAGTTCTAGAAAAACATTTTTTGGACAGATGCAACTTGTACTAGAATAACGTGAAGAAAAAAGTATGGAGAAGGCTTGGAACAGCTCATGATCCAAAGCATGCAATATCATCTGTAAAATATGATGGAGGGAAAAGAGATGATATGGGCACGCATGGCTTCCAGTGGCACTTGGTCATTAGTGATTACTGTTGATGTGCAGTCAGATGAACTCTGAAGTGTATAGGAACATACTCTCTGGCCAGATTCAACCAAATGCAGAAGTTGATTTTATGGCGCTTCACAGTATAGATGGAAAATGACCCAAAACATACTGCAAAAGCAACCTAGGAGTTTGAAGGTATAAAATTGAAATGTTCAGCAATGGCTGAGTCAATCGCCTGATCTAAAATGCATATCACTTGCTGAAGACAATACTAAACGCAGAAAGACCCACAAACAAACAACAACTGAAGACAGCTGCATTAAAGTCTCAATTAAAGACACCATTATGATGAAGTAGTATGTCCCACAGCTTTCCAACTATTCTGCTACACACTCAAAAGCATGTAGTTTTTTTTTTTCTTTCATAAAAAGAGTACATACTTTTAGGTCACAGTATAAGGCGGCGAATTGGGACATAGCAACTGTGTTTGTATATCAGACAAAAAAAAAACTGCACCACACGCAAAACATCCAATTAGCGACATGCACTGACTGGCTGTTGTTGCATATATTTCTGCAATGTGATAGGCTGTAAGATTAAGGCTGTAAGATATTGAGTAAAAATGTCCAGAGCTTATCATTGTTATTGACATTAATTTTATTGCGATCTCGATATAATAACATTTATCACCTAGACCTGCTTAAAGGTCCTAAAAAAATGCATAATTTTCATTAAGCAAAATATAATTTCCTTGATGTTAATTTAAAATACAACACAGACATGTACTTGCCAGGTTTAATGAGATTCACCCAATTTAAAGGGGTCATATGATGCGATTTAAATTTTTCCTTTCTCTTTGAAGTGTTACAAGCTCTTGGTGCATAAAGAAGATCTGTAAAGTTGCAAAGACTAAAGTCTCAAATTCAAAGAGATATTCTTTATAAAAGTTAAGAGTCAACCACGCCTACCTAAAACGGCT